ACGTCTCGAAAGCATTTTCAATGAAATGCGGGATTAACCCATAGGGACGAGGAGGGGGATACAGAAATGTTGGTAAAAACAAAACAAATCAAATTTTGACGTTTAAAAACAAGAAACTGGATCTGAAAGACGAAGAGGGGAATGCTTTTGACACGACTTTACTGAAGGAGTAACTTTCCACAAGAACTCCGATCCCAGACTGGTTCTGAAAGGGATGATGCTGTTTCCATAGAAACGGGTTAAGAGAAACACTCGGTATGCTTTCGAACAGATGTCCCAAACTTTTTTTTTTAATATCAAAGGATATCAAAGATAATGGAAGAAACAAGCAAACACAAAATGAAGTGTTGCAAAGGACGCAAATAGGTTATAAATAGAACTAAAGGTCTTAGAAGTGACGTCACGAGTGTCAAACTTAAGGGGCGTGCCGCCATTCCGGAGAGGAATAAAACGCCAGTCGGTGCACAGCAACACTCTTCAATCACGAATTAATGATCCTCTACAAAGCCCTTTTATGTTGGTTTCTTTTTCATGTGATATGCCTATCGCTAAAATGTACTCATGGGGATTTTTGTGATTGTTTACCTTTAAATGAGTCAGATAATCTCCAAATAATGCAAATAGGGCCTTTTACACTGTGAGACCACATGAGAGAGTAAAATTCAGGGGAAAAAATGATGGACCTGATGATCACTTGTTTAAAAAGAGAACATAATTTCATTGAAATTTTTTGCTGCGTGTTGCTCAAACAGTATGTCTAGATTTAGCAACGCTGACTACAACAGGGCGCTCGTATCGATCCTCTGGAATCAGGAATGTAACTGAGAAGCTGCTAGAAGCTCCAGCTGCACCTCTAGCATATCTTCAAGGCTGGCTGAATGGAAAAGAACCACTGTCGATGTTGTTGAGATGAGAGAATATAAAGTAGCCAACCAGGCGTAACTATAACCCACCAATAAGACCGGCGTTCTGTTTCATTTGCGGATCCGATGCCAAACAACATGTGCAACAGCAACAACAGGGGTTCATGGAAGAAGGGGTGTTATTGTGTAGCCAAACACCATTGCCAATCAACGCCAATTTTAGAAAATATTGTGAACGTTTAAGATAAACCGGCTATTTATCTAAATGCTGCATTTTTAAACGTTGTCAGTATATCATTATTTGTGAACGATATTACCCAAAGCTCTTTGGGTATGCTCACAGGATCCCCACTATGAGTGATTTGCAGTATCCCAGCCTACAGTTAATTGCTCTTTTTGAGACAATAACGAATTAATATATTAGATAATTAACCCAGTCCGAACCCCCTTCATACTCTATGAAGATCTAGGCTTTGCATCAGTAGAAGGAGAGACGTGTAGACAACATGGCATAAAAACAATCCATTTTGTAGTCGTCCTTTTTCTTCACAAACTCAATTACTCACTTTGTCTCCCTCTCCCCCTACCCTACCACACCCGGGAAAAACAAACACTACCTCATATTATATCTCTATGTT